AGAGCAAGTCTTTTAGTTGCAACTAGTGCTGGATTTGGCTCGTTGCTACAGCTAGAAGCTATGTGCCCATCTTCTCCGCACTTAAAACAGTATCCAGGCTTTGGTCTGGGCACCACTGCTGTTATCTGCTGAATCTGTTTGGGCTCATCTGGAATTTTAGTCCCCACACGGGGTTTTGACTCTTTTTGAGTTTTCTTTGCCTTTTTATCTGTGTTGTTAACCTTAAGCTGTGCAATTTGGCTCCTGAGCTCAGCGATTTGTTTGCGTAAGTCATCACAGTTATCATCTATTTCCAGTTCACAAGTGTTTTTACTCTGAGAGCATGTTGTTTGCACATTTGAATACACTCTAGTTCGTTGTGCCCCTAAGTGTTGTTTCATGCGTGCTGCTTTAGTAGCCTGTTTGTCTTCTTCAGTGCGCAGTTTGAGGAGAAGTGCTGTAAAATGAGGCGGGTTGTCTTTCTTTTGTTCGAGTTGCAGGGTTGAAATCAGCGAGCTGTCCCAACAGCCTCTGCAAAACTGCTTGAGCAGCTGCTGGTCGGCGTCACTGGAGGAAATTCCATTCCTCTGAATAACTAGGTTTAACAAGGTGTATAACCTCTGAAAGTAATCGGAAGGTTTTTCACCACTGTCCTGGTTTGTGTTTAAGAAGCGAGCAAAGAGCTCGTCGCCGTCTTCGACAGCTGCGTAAGCTGAATCAAGATGTTCAAGGTACGTTTCCGGGTCAGATTTTGGACTAAGAGCTTTAACGATGCTCGCTGCTGGGGCTGACAGACTCTCCACGATTCTTCGTACAATTTGGGACTTGGTGAGTGAAGGATCATTTATGCATAACACTACACTACTACGCCAAGTATCATAGTCAGTTTCAAAAGAAGGGTGTGGAACTCGCCCTGAGAACGGTTTTAGTCTGTATTGTGAAGTAGGCGGAGGGATAACCTCACTGCTTTTAACAATGTGTTCCACAATAACTCGCTGAACCTCAGGTGTGTTTAAAAGATTTGGTGGAATGCAAGGGTTTTGTTTTCCAGTCTCTGTAGGTGGACAATTGTCCTTTGAGTTGTTCATATAGTTAACTTCTGGTGTTAAAGGCAGGGAATATGTAACTTGGTCACTATGGAGCATTGGCTCTAGTTCAGTGACTGGTTCAGATGCATGGGTATCCCTTCCTAAAGATTCCCCAATTTTTGCCAGTTCCTCCATTAGAAGGTCTTTAAATGATTGATTGCTACGCGCAGCTATGTCCCTGAGCTCTGACAGATAGGCATCAGTGGCAGATGTGCTAGTTTCTAGACTGTACGCGCTGGCTAGGTCTTGAATATGGAAGAAAACATCTGGGTTCCTAGTACAAGGTTTGTCATAGGGTAAACATTGTTTCTTTAATTCCTTAACAGTGGCTTCATGTTGAAACTCCACAATAACCTGATCACAGTTTGGTAACTTAATGCGCCTGTTAACTGGTCCGAATCCTTCCATAAACCCAAAGACTTCGTTATCAAGGTCTGTATCAGTTAACCCACTGATTAAAACAGCATTTGAAACTTTGACCTTTTCTGTTTTCACAACTTCCATTTTAAAACACTCAAAAGTACCAATAATGCCAAAATGGCAAACCACTGTGACCTCCAGGCACTCTTATGATGTCAGTCAATGGTTAGCTAAGGTAACAACTCTACAATTCTCCTGGCTGGCTCGCCAAGTTTTATGTAACCGCATTACAGGATACAATAAGATAATTAAAAGAAAAAATAAACAAATGGGCCAATAATTAGGTTCGGGGAGAATTGGAGGTTGTTTAAGAATGACTGGAGTCACGGGTATAGCATGAAACGGTTTATATACTAAATTTTAATAATAATGGGAAATATAACACATAAAGATAACACACAAAAACAGATGAAAACAATCGACAATAGTAAAATGCTCGGTATGAGATTTGATCATATGAGTCACAAGTCAGCCGGCGTCAAGTCAAATCCCCACGCTTGGGGTGAAAGTCAGAGTCCGGTGGTGCGATTTTTTTCTACCACACCGTTGAGATTGTTCACAGAAGAGAGCAGTCTGCTCTTCAGTTACTTGAGATGTCCTGGTTCGTTCAGTGGTTAAGGCTCGCCATCTCCCTCGTCAGGAAGAAATCCAGTTCTCGTTCCAAGTGAGTGATCATAGGAGTCGGGATCAAACCCAAGGAAAAAAAAAAAAAACCCAGCCTGTAAACAACAGGACTGTTAGCAAGTTGGCATCGACCCTTCTCGTCACATCACAGCATAAAGTCTTACAGACTTAAACAAATGCTTCACTCTATTGGCATAGCCAATCATGTTTGGGTTCACAGTTCAACTAACATAACATCAATTTGATTGTCTATTAAAATAATTCTCAGTAGCTCTGGAAATATAATTACATATGACAACAATTGTTCAGCTCAATAGGCTCAGTTAGATTCTATTACTCTACACTATTCAACAAGAAATACATTCATGACAACAAGGATACATTTAGTTGTGTTTCTATACAGCATTGTGACACCTTGTATATCTGTAACACAATAAATAAATAAATAAACAAACAAATAAATAAATAAATAAATAAAATTTTCTATAACAAAATTAAACAAAATATAAATTCTGGTCCTTTGGTCCACCTTTGTAAAATAATTCCTCCCTAATCAGTTAGCTTTTATTTATTTTTATTTATCTATTTTTTTTATTATTAAATGTTTGGTTAAGGGACGCATTGCTAATTCTATGGCGTTAGCTATAACGCCCCTGAGGACCTTGTACATCTAGGCCGTACCACCGTTAACTGGCGGTTTGAGCCGTTAACTCCTGGGAATCCCATATGCCGTACCGCCGTTAACTGGCGGTTTGAGCCGTTAACTCCTATATGCCCTACCACCGTTAACTGGTAGTTTGAGATGTTAACTCCTGGGATCTAACGTCTAGCAGCCCACTGCTGTCACCTCGGTTGCTGTAATTAGCTTTTTGAATTTAATAATTTACTGAATTTAATCTCATTCACTCACCAACGCGCTCCAACGGTTCCCTCCTACAGAGGATTGGTTCACTCTGTCGTCTCCACACAAATCTATAAGAATGGAATTAATTTGATAAGCTATTTAAGTTTCCTTTTTTTTTTAAGTTGCATCGTTAGCTTTTTCTCTTCTTTTTTCTTTACTCACCGCGTTGGTTCCAAGTTCCTAGCTCTTATTAGAAGGAGTCAAGTCCGCCTCTCCCTCTATCTATGCGGCACCCAAATCAGGGTTCTTCACGGCCTCGACCGTTGTTTTTTTTTCTCTCTCTCTCTCTCTCTAACCGCTCAGTCTTTGCTTTCTGTATCTGCGTGCTGCACAGCCGTTTGTCTCTCCTCTCGCTCAGCTGCGTCGCACGGTTTTATTTCGCGGAGGCGGGACTTATTTCTCTCAGCCAATGAAATTTCAGATTCCCACCTGGACCAATAGTATACAGCTTTCCTCTTCTGTTTCTGTTAGGGATGTTCAAGATTCTTGTTTTAACCGATGTTTAATATTAAACTCGTTATTTTAGTTATTCACCCTTCCAATAATTCATTATGAAATTATCTATTAGTTAATTAGATATCTATTAATTAGTATTGTTAATTTCCTTAATTTATATTTTATATTTTATCTAAATTGAGGATGGATCATATTAGTAAGCCAATTAGTTAATACCTCATTAAGGTTCTAGCTTCTGGGTTACATTATCATATAGATAGTAAAAATCTAAACAAAAACAGGTAATTGGTGTTAATCTTTGACCTTATTTTCCACCTGCGAACAAGTGAAAGGTAGAGCTAGGGGTAAAATGGATCGGTTTTTGTTGCCCACATTTCCACGGGTTCAGTCAGAAACGAATGAATCTTTGGAAGTGATCTCAGACCCACAAAATCTTACGGATCTGGATGAAGAGAGCCAACCCTCAACCGCCGCAGCAGTCCAGGGTTTTGCCGCTGAAAATGCGAACGCTAACGTTAGCTAACCTTGCAACACTATAGGTGGTTTTCTGTGTGGCTGTATGTGTTTATGATTTCATGGAAAAGTCAGCGATTGTTCATAAGTTTATGATGTATATTAATGATTGTTTCAAGTGTTGTTGAGGTTTTGTGCACGCATGTGTATCTGCTAGTGTTGAAGGTGTTTTAGAGAACAATATGTATGCATGACCACTTCCTTCATAGCACCCTCAATAAAAAGACTAGCTCCTTCATAGCACCTGCAGAAAAACATTTCTGGAACCCCCCAAGGCGCTTTACAACACAATCAGTCATTCACCCATTCACACACCTCAGGGGGCGCACCGACAGAGGCGAGGCTGCCGAGAACTGGCGCCACCGGTCCCCCCGACCACCACCAGTAGGCATGGTGGGTTAAGTGTCTTGCCCAAGGACGACAGCAACAGAGTGAGTGGGGTTCGAACCTGCAACCTTCCGATTACGGAGCGAGCTCTTCAGTCCTGTGCCACCGTCGCTCAAATCGGCTCAGAATGGGCAGAAAATCACACTTTGCTCGTATGCCCGGCTTTAGTGAGCGTGTGTGTCTGGGGGCGGGACTAAAAGCAGGAAGAAGCGGTCCTAAGCGTGAGGTAATCCCTTTTCCTGGGCCTTTTATGAATAATTAGAAACTTTCCGTGCTTTTTTGATCGATTCGTGCTGACTAATGGAGTCGTCCACCCAAAGATCAGTGAGAGAACATTGTCTCTGCATGCGAGTCCTTGTTATGTGTACAGCTAGCTGGTAGCTACTGACCCGGGTGTCCTCCTTTATGCCTGAGTGAATAACTAATGTGATTGGCTCAGACTTGCATTTAGGAGTTGTGCCGGTTATAAACCACCTGCTGTGAATTCAGACAGGAACTGAACCAAAACCACCGCTACAGGGTCTCGTTGGGGTTCTTCTGGTCTAGTGCAATAACGGGGTTCACGCTCACGCAGAGACCAATACTAGCACTGGCTCTGTTCACACGTATGTTTTTGTGATTCTTTTCAGGTATCCCACCTCCCCCTCCAAGAGCAGGAGGGCCCCCTCGTCCTCTTGCACCGCCACTCACCATGTTTCCACCACCGCTCAGCTCCAGTGTGCTCAGCGCGCCGCCCAGCATTGTTCAGAGGCAGAAAGGTCCAGGATCCAGCCAGGATGGTTCACAGGGCAACATGCCCCCCCCTGCCATGTCCATGCGACCCGGGGTCATGCAGATGCCTCCTCCTCCTGGGACAGCCGCTGCTTCCGCGGGAGCAAATCCCGGCGGCCACCACATGGCCACCATCGAAAAACGAGCCAACATCACTTCTGCTGCAGCCGCTGCAGGCGGCCTGGCTGCAGGCGCCGGCGCTGGAGGGGCTACCATCTCCGCCAAACCTCAGATTATCAATCCCAAGGCAGAGGTCACTCGCTTTGTGCCCACTGCGTTGAGGGTGCGCAGAGACAAGACCGGAGCCATGCCAGGGGCAGCAAGCGGACACCTGGAGAAGGTGGGGAGTGCTGGAGGAAGGAGGGGCGATGAAGGCCATGGAGGAGGCCACTGGCAGAAACAGCATGCAGCTGCAGCTTCGCTGGGTTTGGCTAAAGCATCCCAAGGAGGCTCTGTGTCTCAGCCCAGCATGAAGACTAAAGACCAGGTTTATGAAGCCTTTATGAGGGAGATGGAGGGACTGCTCTGAGACTCTGGAGTATCGGACAAATTGTTGTTTTCTCTGGGCTCTTTGAGCTTCAGGAGTGGATCGTTTTTGTGTGTCCAGAATGATAGAAGTAGCTGTATTCAGATCGTTCAACCAAATCAGTCTGGAGAAAATACAGTTATTTATAAATTCACCTGAGTTATGGTTTTTCCAAACAACCAAACACTGTCCTGCACAGAAGTGAATCTTCTCTTACAAGTTTATTTTCTAACAAGTTGTGTTCCTCCGCCATAAAAAGCTGTTTTTTTAATGGTTTTTACTTTTGTTTCTTTTATAGTTATTCATTTGAATGTGAAAACAGGAAAATGTAGAGTATTTGTCCTACAATGGCAAAATCCATGTCTGACAGTTTGAAATGCAGCTAAATAAACACCTGAAAACAACGTTAATCTGTTGTGTTTGATCATCGTGTTGTGTTTCAGACACACCGGCAGTAAGAGGGGATTCATTAGAAGTAGATCAGATTTCATTCTTAACCCAAGTGGACATTAATTGTGCTGAGAAGTAAGTTATGTAGGACAGCAGAGGAACACGTAAACAATTCCCATCAGTCCTCGAGGTTTCACGCATGAGCATTGCAGATCTGGCAGGAGGCGTCATTTGGAATTCTAGGATGTCCAAGGAAGATCTCGCCATTCTCGTCTCTGATTGGCTAGAAAGGCTCTACTACGGCTGGCTATTTCATTTAACAGCAAACTGGCTGTCCTCTAGTGATGGGAATTCCGGCTCTTTTTAGAGAGCCGGCTCTTTCGTCTCCCAAGTGGCTCCTCAGATTTTCTGTTGCGTAGCGTACATTTATAACCAAAATAATGCAAAACTATATATAAAATGATTTACTGATGTAAAAAATGCTATATATCAAATATTTATCATTTCTATGGATTTAATAACTGAACACTTTAACAAATCTCCACTTTCCCACTGCTGGAGCTCATTTTCTCACCGTCTTTGTAGCACTCTCCTCTCTCTCGCTCGCCTTTTTCCTCCTTATTCCCTCTCGTCTCCCTCCACCTGCATGTGCTCTGCTGTGTGTCTAAGTCTGATCCTCCCTCTTCCCCGCCCCTACTGCTCTGTGTGTGGACAAGCTGGACATGCAGTCACACATGTTGACCAATTACCTGTAGCTTTCACCAAAGCAAGAGGGGAGGGGGGAGGGGACGGCTCCCAATGACGAGCCGGCTCCCGGCGTCGTTCACTTCAAAGATTCGGCTCTTAGAGCCGGTTTGTTCGCGACCGACACATCACTACTGTCCTCGCCAAGTGCAGACTGTCCTGTCACCAGCGGAAAGCTGTTTTGGGGAGTTTAGTAAAGAAAATGTGAACTTAGTGCTATAATAAACATTCTGTCCTGTTAGCAAAATATTTAATGTTTCATTAAAAAAAACTGAAAAATGTAAAATGTGAATTTTAAATCTTGTTGCATTTATCAAACTGTTGGACTTACTTTATATCTCTTGGATCTGAAGCATTAGAGTATAGGATAAACATATAATAATACATTTTATTTCAAGCGCCTTTCAAGACTCAAGGTCACTTTACAAGTGCAGGTAGGCCTACATACAAGAAGAAAAAAACCACCAATACAAATAAATACATAAAATAATCAAGATAAAATAAAGGAGCTAAGACTAGATAAAAATGTAGGAATGGAGGATTTCGGTTGCTAGGCTAGAGAAGGGTAGAAGAAGGAGTGTAGTTATGGTGGACGAGCCAACTCCCACTTCCTGTTTGAAAAATGCAACAAATGCTGTTGCCTAGCAGACCGAGAGGGTGGAGCCGCTAACAAACACACACACTCACAACATTGTGACATCATAATGTACCATCTAACATCATAGTGTACCTCTTAGCCAATAGCGATGGTAGATTTAAATTCAAATGCAGTGCTGAGTTTTTACCTGACGACGGTGCAACACTGACAGTTTTAGGCAGAATATTTAAATTTTAACTAAGATGCACTGAAGTACCAAATTACTGACTACACGTGTCTGCAGCACGATTAGACACGCATTTATATAGTTTATCAGCAAAAAATAAGTTGATTTGCCGGCTGCTGGTTGTGGCCCCCCGGGGCGATCCTCTGTGCCTCTCGAGGGGGGCGGGGGCCTTCCTGGTTGCAGTCTCCTTGGGGTTCCTGCGTTCTGGGGCAGCGCCTGGATCTCTGGGACTTGGAGCTCCCCCCGTCTCCTGCGCATCTCTGGGGGGCAGATCTGTGGTCCCTCACACTCTCTGTTGGACGCTCCTATAGAGAAACCTTAAATAAACAAGCGCGTGTACACACACATTTGCTCACATGGTGCTCTCAAAAGTATGGGCTTGGGCACGTTAAACACAGGTCTTAAGACTATGGTGGGCACTTAATGCATTGTGATTTATTATCGTGATTCTTCAGTTAAGCAATGTTGATTATATATATATTTTTTTTTCATCAAGTTGACGCAGTGATAGCTAGATCTTGTTGTATTGTTGTTGTGTCCCCTTTTTGTGTCCTTTTTTTTTTGTCTTTTTCTGCAGGTCTAGAAGCAGACTCTTGTTCATTGTTTATTTTTGTGGACCCCCCCTCCCTCTCCCCACCTTTTCTTTTCCTTTCTCTTTCACCTCTGTCTCCGTGTCTGGTCGGAATTACAAAGCATTTAACAACAATAACAATAAAGTTTTAAGTATCAGGCGTGACATTAAAAGCAGACGCTTTGATGCTCCACCTGAGAGTAAATCTGTAAGGCTTGTCACCAGCATTCAGACATCAATTCTGCTTGCTTCACAGCCAGACAGGACACGGTAAAAAAAAAGAAGAAAAAATAAGTTGATTTGGAGTGACTTGCTCTTTAAAGGTTGAGAATGAATTGATATTGCGGATGTCAGATGGGAGAGTGTTCCAGAGTTTAGGCGGGGCTGAGTAAGGCTCCGGCTCCAGTGTTACAGAGGCGAATACGGGGAAAAGATAAGGAAACGGAGGATGATGATCGAAGCGAGAGAGCGGGAGCGACGACATGGACGAGATTAGAAATATATGGAGGGGTGAGATTGTGGATGGCTTTGAAAATGTACAGAAGAATTTAAAGTCAATTTGGTATTTAACAGGGAGCCAGTGAAGTTGGTGCAAAGCAGGAGAGATGTGATCGTGGATGGAGGTTTTGGTGATTATACGGGCGGCGGAATTCTGGACCAGCTGAAGTTTATGGAGTGGCTTTAGGGGAAGACCGGAGAGGAAGGCATTACAGTAGTCGATGCGGCTGGTGACAAGACTGAGAATCAAAATAGCAGCTGAGTGTTGGCTGAGGGAGGGGCGGAGTCGATTAATATTTAACTTTTGATTAAATGATATACATTTAATCTGATGATGCTCTAACTTCAAATTCAAAAATACTTTATAAATCCCAGAGGGAAATTAGAGAACTTGTAAACAGCCTTAACCTATTAAAGCAGGCTAATAATGGACTAATAAGATAACCTCAATAGAGCCAACAGATAAAAAGGTCAGTCTACAGTGTGATAAAATGCTACAAGAATTATTACAAGTTCACACTTGATGTTTTTCAGTCTCTTTTATGAAAGAAACTGAACCTGGTTTGTTGCTAAACAGGAAAGGATGTTTATTATAGCGACGAGTTCACATTTTGTTCCAAAAACTCCTCAAGACCTTTCTGTAAACCGTACTGTAAACATAAAAATCTGCAGTTTCCTCTTACACGAAATAGCCAATCGTAGTAGAGCCCTTCCAGCCAATCAGAGGCGAGAAAGGCGGGACCTTCCTTGGACGTCCTAAACGCTGACGGCACGTTGAGGCGAAAAGCATGGCGGAGGAGAGTGAGAAGCAAAACACATCTGAAGTCCTGGAAGGCTCGAGTAGTGATGAAGACGAACACAACGCTAACGGAGAAAGCGAGGAGACGGCGAAGACTTTTAAAGATCTGGTGGGTTTGTTTTCTAAGAGCGCGACTGACTTTAGATTTGTTAGCACGCAGCGACATAGCTGTTTATGCTAGCTAGACCTAGCTAGTGCTATTTCTATCTAACGAAACGTTCCTCCTTGTTCTCAGTGTCCTATCACAGGTTATCTCATTTAACCTGTGTGTGTGTGTGTGTGTGTGTGTGTGTGTGTGTGTGTGTGTGTGTGTGTGTGTGTGTGTGTGTGTGTGTGTGTGTGTGTGTGTGTGTCTCTGACAGGGTGTAACCGAGGTTCTGTGTGAGGCTTGTGATCAGCTGGGATGGAAGAGTCCAACAAAGATCCAGGTGGAGGCGATACCTGTGGCTCTTCAAGGTGACATCACCTGTGTTACATGTATACATTTTTATGACTGGTGTATTGGCGTGTTAGCAACATTGTGATATTGGAAGGTTTTTAGTCATTTTAGCGTGTTTCAGTGAAAGTTGCAGATAATGGCTTCCTGATGGACCTGAGCTCAGAAAAATGACTTTCCTCTCCGACAGACAGGACTGATGATTTAACAGCTAGAGAGCAGCGAAGACTCAAATCGATTGCTGTTGTTTGTAAACACAGTTTATGAAAATGGTGTTTTAGAAACTTTACCCTGCTACCAGTCTTCACTGCACTTCTCTTCTCCTTGGTCTCCATCTCCCTGTGGTCATGCGACAAAGACAGACCAGGTGGTGTTTAAAGGATGCATAACCATGTAATCATCTTTGTTTCAGTTATTTTAGGGAGTCTTTACAGTTTTAAACTGCACGAGTTGTCCTGTAATGCTTTCATTTTGCACAATCATTGCGTAATGATAAGTTAAACAACAGAACCAGCCGTGCCTGTGAGGTAAACGTTTTATTGAGTCCGCTAAACTTGAGGCGTGGTGGTGATGCGTTCAGAAACTTTAGTAAAAGTCCTGACTGCAACAAGCTAACTCATTTCTGTTTGATCTTCCTGGGACTGCAGGGAAGGATGTTATCGGCCTGGCAGAGACCGGTTCAGGGAAGACTGGTGCTTTTGCTCTGCCGATCCTCCAGTCGTTGCTGGCCTCTCCCCAGAGGCTTCACACGCTCGTCCTGACGCCCACCAGAGAGCTAGCCTTTCAGATTTCTGAGCAGTTTGAGGCGCTGGGCTCCAGCATCGGTGTCAAATGTGGTATGTGTCCGTCAGAAGTCATCTGATTTATTTACCTTTAAGATCTTCTCTGTGTGTTTAACTTCCCTCTTCTGTGTTGCAGCTGTGGTAGTTGGTGGAATCGACATGATGTCCCAGTCCCTGGTGTTGGCTAAAAAACCCCATATCGTTATCGGTAAGGCAGAAAGCTTCCTTTTCATTTCCAACGGATGTTTCGATAACGGTTCCCAAATGTGTGCAGTTTTTATGATATTTGTCATAATTAGGAGTTTTATCTTCATACTAGGGCTGAAACGATTCCTGGACTACCTCAAATAATTCGAGTACAAAAAATTCTCGAGTCAAATTCTCTGCCTCGAGGCTTCGTTTTTATTCATGTTTAATTAATTCATGGCTTTGCAATCGCCCGGGGTCGTGTTTCACCCGGACCTAAATAAGCGACGCACACACACACTGCACTGAATGCACACGTGAGTAGCGAATGTAACTTAAGCCATGGCGGACCACGCGGACCCCGGTGGAGTGCGAAAAGACAGGAAATGTCAAAGGTGTGGGAGCATTTTTCACGTGGTAAGGTGGGAAACGTAGTCCAGTGTAAATACTGTAAAGTGGATCTAGCCTACCACAACACCACATCCTCCATGCTGCAGCACCTGACCAGGAAACATCCACATGTAAATGTCACTTCTGCAGGCGGACTCGGAGGTCCGCTATATATTCTGCGGACGCTGAGCGACTTTTTCGCTTGTAGCGCTCAGTTTCAGCTCACGCTGTCGTCTGGTAGCAACACGTTGGACCCAAAATGTGCTAAAAATAGCAGTTTTTACACGACACGTCCGACTTTATTGTGTTGTTACTGACGTCTGTTGTCCCTCGGGATCGCTGCAGGAGGACACGGGTATTTATGGAGGAAAACGAAAGAAAATAAATAAATGTTGTGTGATCAGTATAATTTGACAAAACCACGGCAAACCTGCTTTCTCAACAATCCTCGTTATTGTGTGAGAACAAAAGGGGAGAACGGACGTGTGTGAACAGGGAAACAGCTGGCGAGCCATGTTTGCACATGCGCCGTGAGCGGTTCTGGTTCTGTTTGGGCCGCAGCCGCTCGCAGCGCTACTTCAACAGTTAACCTCCTAGTTTGTTTTTTTTTGCACAGGCGTTTGTTTACTGTGAAGTAACGTTGAACGTCTGAAGTTCTGAAAACTAATTTTGAATAAAACTTGAATAACTGGCAACAGCGTGCTCATTTTAAGAGGTCTTCCATATTTTATAACGTGCTGTTTGATGTCATGGTTTACAAACTCAAAAGGGTAATTTATTAGAGTACTCGATTACAACAATATCCGATAGCTGCAGCCCTACTTTATAACGTGTTTTATTGCATTTTTTGTAGAACTTTTTAAAGTTTTCCATCACAAAAATGTTGGATTAATTGTGTTTGGGATCTAGGAGCCAGAATCTTTTGGCTCCTCAATGCGATTCCATTTCCCGTCAGAGGGTAGTGATGAAGCGGAAAATGAAGCAATGCAGTATTTAAAAACAACATATGAGTGTTTTAACAGTTGTTTTAGTTCATTGCGATAAAGTCTTAATTTTATTGTAGAAGGTCTTCAAATGTCTTGAAAAGGTATTAATTAAAATTTAGAGATCCCTGCATGTGCCCTGTAATAACTAGTAATGCAATCAGTTTGTAGTGTTTTTGGTGTTGCATCAACACATGTCTTAGGGACGATGCTTACTTCTTCAAACAAACAGAAAAACACAGGGAATTATGTTTTTATGGCAAATATTGTATAAAAAATGTTGTTTATTACAGAAATATGGTAAAATTAGCACATTGTAACATCTTCAAGTGTGTTTTTTTTAAAAGAAAAAGAAACTGTTTACATAAATAAAGTGACCTTAAAAAGTATGTTATTTAAATTTTGAACTCATTTAGTTGAGCTGTCGTGTTTCCAGCCACGCCCGGTCGGCTGATTGACCACCTGGAGAACACGAAGGGCTTCTCTCTACGAGCGCTGAAGTTCTTGGTTATGGACGAAGCAGACCGGATCCTCAACATGGACTTTGAGACGGAGGTGGGTACCAGATGCCCAAACCACCTCAACTGACTCCTTTCGATCCGGAGGAGCAGCGGTTCTACTCCGAGTCCCTCCCGAATGTCCGAGCTCCTCATACCTATCGCTAATGCTGAGCCCGGCCACCCTACGGAGGAAAC